TTAGCAGAGAGAGACAGCGAGAGAGGGAACACAAGCAGGGGGAGTGGGAGAGGGGGAAGCAGACTCCCCGCGGAGCAGGGAGCCCGATGTGGGGCTCGACCCCAGGACCCTGGGACCATGACCTGAGCCAAAGGCAGATGCTTAACGACTGAGCCACTCAGGCGCCCCAAAAGATTTTAAGTCATCTCCACACCCAATGTGGGGCTTGAACTCCCGACCCCAAGATCAAGAGCCATAGGCTCCCCCCAGTGAGCTGGCCAGTGGCCCCTCAACATTAACCGCAATCCAAATTAAAAAATCAAGGAGCCGGGTGTAGTTAACACCTGGTCTCACGGAGTTTTGAGCCTCCGGGTGAGGTTCTAACCCCAGCTCTTGTGGCCGGTGAATGCCTGTCCTGCCGGGCCTCTCTCGGTCCACAAGGACGGACACTGTTGGCTTATTTGCAGGGTGAGCCCCTTGCCCTCCCCCACACGCACCCCGAGGGTGGGCCTCGAGGCCTCGCGGGGCTGCTGACCGTTGTGCAGTCGGGTCACACGGCTGGCTCCGTGAAGTCCAACGATTCTGCCAGTTTCTGAATCTGAAATATTAGAGTTGCCTTCAGATTATGGTGTGAAACTATTTTTCATTTTTACCTTTTTGCGGGGGGGCATACGTAACCGTGTCGCCTGCCCACGGAAGAAATGAGCGCCCACGTGAGGTGACGCTGGGGTCCCTGCCCTGGCTCAGCCCTGGGCCCTTTCGGCCTGTGGCTCTATGAGGTGTGAAGCCCGGTCATCCCCGCCCGCTGGGGCCCCACATCCCCGGAGGCCGACCCGACAGGTTCCTGGTCTTCTCGGGGCCCTTAGCGTATCTGGGAGGAGGTCTGAAGCTGGGACTGGAAGTTGGCGGGGTGCAGCTCCCCACGGTTAGCACAGGAAGGGACAGCGGTCGGTTGCGGGGACTCAGACGTCCCTGGAGAACTTTGCTGCCAGAGCTGCTCGGTCAAGAGCACTGACGCAGGAAGGGGAAAAGCTGGAGTGAGAGCTAGGAAATTCGGGTACAAGGTCAGGGGCGAGGAGCCGTGGGACTCGAGGTCCAGAAAGCTCCACGGGCCCCTCGGCCAGCGGTCACAGAGGTAAGAGGCTGCCATGGAGGATGGGCTGTACGACCCACGCCTGGTGCTCAGACAAGGGGCACAGCCCACGGGCACCTTTGAAAACCGTGAACCCCGCACCTGAAGGCTCAGTTCAGCCTCTGCAGGCCGCTGGGGCAGCTGTGTGTGGGGCGCAGTGAGGGGCACGTTTGTGCACACCCGTTCAGGGAGGGGTGGGGCGAGCCAGGAGCTGGATGTTGGGAGGAAGTGAGTTCAGACTCCCCACTGGCGGGCCGGTGCCCAGCTCTGGGACGAGGGCTTTAAGTGATGGGACCCAGATTGGGCCCCCAGTGATGGCAGACTCTTGGGCTTTTTGGATGTGAGGGGCTATTTGTCTAATGCATTAAAGATTTATTTACTGGGGGGGTTAGGGTTAGGGAAGGGAGAGGGAGACAAGCCGACTCTGCTCTGAGTGCGGAGCCCGTCGCGGGGCTCGATCCCACGGCCCTGGGATCACAACTGGAACCAAAACCAAGAGTGGGCGCTCAACCGACTGTGCCCTCCAGGCGCCGCCTGTCTGAGGCATTTGCAAGGCAGATCCGTGGAGTCAGTGATGGAAGCAGTAATTCGCGCACGTGAGGAGTGTGTTGTACTTTATCCGGGTAGAAATTGCTAACTGGCTCAGAAACAGTTTTGCGCTCAGTTTCTAGATCCTTTCGATGGCGATTCAGAAGATCCCCCCGGTCGTCCGGCCTCCAGCTTCAGCGACTGTTCTCCGGGTGGCGTGAACGGGACCGTGCCTTCCCCCGCACTCAGGTGCGGGAGTCCGGGAGAAGTCAGCTTAGAAGACCCTCTCTCGTCAAAAGCCCCAGACCTCCTCCTGAAAGCTGCCAGCTGGGGCCCCACATCCCCGGAGGCCAACGACGTGGATATGCAGCCCGCCGAGGCCAGCAGCCCTGAGGCCCGAGGGCGGGCAGCCCGGCGCTCTGGGTCGCCGGAGGACGGGAGGATGGCGGAGGACCGGTGGCCCAGGGCAGCCGGCCCCATCGTCCCGGCCGCGGGGCCCCCGGAGCCTGGCAGACACGCGCAGGGCCGAGCCAGAGCGGCGCGGCCGCCACCCAGACTCGGGAGCGAGAAGGACAAGGGGCCCAAGCTCACCCTCTCCAAGAGGAAACTGGAACTTTTACTTGCAGAGCCTGAGAAAAACAAGAGAAAGAAGCAGTATGTGGCCTAGACCAAGGTGAGCAGTTAGCTCAGGAGGGGCGCTAATGCCCCGAGGGGAGCCCCTTGGCCAAAGCTGACGCTGATGGACTTGGTTCCATGAAACACTTGCCCTTTTCGGGTCTGAGACAGTGAACACCTGGGGGCCCACCAGCTTTGCTTAAAAATGGGTTTCCAACTGAGGAAAGGTCCTGTGTGGCTCTCATGGAGCCCACCTCCCCTGAATCCGAGAGTTTTTTTACTAAGTATTTAGTTTCCGTAGAGCTGGTGTTGTTTTTTTTTTTTTTAAACCTTGACTCCTGATGCCCATTGTTGTCCACCCCACCTGAATGTTTGCTCTGGGGGTGGGAGTGGGGGTAGAGGGGTGGAGGGGGGAGCGGGAGGGGCGTGTCCGATTCTCCCGTGAATTGCTCTGTCCCCCGCCCCCGCACCTTGAGAAGCCACCCTGCACGACGTCCCTATTTCCGTTCCTCTGTCCCCGTCCGTACAAGGTGAGGATTTTCTGAGCAGCTGGTTTGGCTGTTGGCAGGACCATGGTCTTGATGTGCTGACAGTTAAAAATAACGGGGTGGTGGTGGTGGTGCTCTTACCCTTTTCCCAGTTGCTGGGGCTTTGCTCACTGGGCCTTTTGTTCCCTAGCAGGCGTGAACTGAGCACGAGTCTGGCGCAGCGCTAGGTGCCCACTGCCCACTCGCCCCACGACCGCGCTGTTCCCAGGCCAATAAAGGGGAAGCCTGCCAGAGGACAAGAGCGGCTCCTTCCTCCCGGTGGGCGGGGCGCAGGGGCG